CCCCAAAACCCCAAAACCCCTTTATGCGTTGATTACAATAATTGACAAATCAATCAATTAAAAAATCTAGGTTGATGTAATTATAAAAAATGAATATAACTTAAAACAGGGATCCCAGAGTACCTTTTGACATCAATTATAGTCAGTCTTTAGTCAAATCTAACTTCAAATTATCAAGCTGCGTTCATGTATGTAATTTTTGGACTCTAAATTACATAATATTTATAGAATGACAGAACTTTCCCAAGAAATTTAGAGTTAAAATAACAAACTAATGGGACAACTCATAGGTAACCGATATGAACTGTTAAGATTTTTAGAAATTGGGATGCAAACAACACCACTTATGGAGGAATCAGCACAATGGAAGCAAAAAATTAGATGGGTGAATCAAAGTACAAGCAGAATCTCTATAATATAATGGATTAATCAAGGCCTTCTTCAATTCCCCCTTTAGGGATTAAGATTGGACTGAAGCACAGCTAACTATCAAAAAGACAGCGAAATAGAGCACTTGAACTTGACTATCTTAGAAAAAAGAATAACCTTAATGGAGAGAGAGCTCATACTTAAGAGTCAATTTAATCGTCTCGAGTGCCGAAATTTACATTTGGTGATGCTTCACTTGAAAGGTCGATGTTATATGATCAGTCGATATCGTACACAGCTAATACTAATACTAGGTCAAAAGAAAATTATGTTCCCCCTCCATCAACGACAAAGCCACTCCCATCAAAGAGAATATCTAATAAGCTTCTTTGGAATCATGAAAAGACTCAGTAACTAAACAGAAGCTCTTTCGATGAGCAATCCAATACTACTAACTTAACAACATTAGTTAATTAGATATCCTTAAATAATAGCCCTAAACGATAGAGAAATCTCAGAGAGTTAAAATTTTAGAGATCAAACTTTAATAGATTACAATACCAAAACATCAGCTAGCTTATTTAAACTAACAGTAACCTAAGGTCTAATTCCCCTTCTGTTCTGATAGACAATAATCTTATAACAGAGTAAAGTCTTAATGTAAACAGTATAGGAAATGTATCAAACAGAGTAACAATAGATAAAATAAATGTATCCTACCTAGAGTGCCACAACAATCCTTTCCAAACTTTAAGTTTGTAAGAGAGATTAAAGTCATTTAAAAATAAGCTGATCTCTACGAATTTTGAGAAAAAGTTTAGATAAAGATTGGCTTTGATGAATTCAACTTAACGAAGTTCGATTGAAGCATCTCCTAAGAATCAAAATAACATGCCTAATAAATTTATTGTCTTTAGAAACCGAAAAAACAGTGAGTTCAAAAGATAATTATAAACAAGTCATGTAATGACCAGGGAATATAATAATACCGATATTTAAGCAGCTCAAACATTTAGGAATAAACAAGCTCACACAAGAGTTCCAAGTAGATTCCAAAATAATAAAATACTTGACCTTGATGATGATGAGCCAGCCTAGGAGTAGAGTACATTTTTAACACAAGCGCAATCCAATTAAAATTTGTAGAGGAATTTATAGTTTTTGCAAGAAAGGTAAAAGGAAAAGAGCAAGAAATATGATGAATATCAGAGACAGCGAGATCAGAGGAATAAAGAGATTGATGAGTAGTTAAACAGGGAAAGCTCTACTTTGAAGCTTATCAACTAGCTTTTGGATTCATCATAATATATTGTTCCAAAAGTTGGGGAGATGAATAAGAAGGAAAGTCATATAGCTCTGAATGATTAATTAGACAAGTCTAACTCGGCCAATCTTAGCAGCAATGCTACTCCTAATAAAGGTTTACCTGTGAATGTGGATGAGGAATTCTTTTAAAGAGTTCAATTGCTTAAGAACTCAGCTGGGACTAATAACATTCCACTAAAAGCTAAACAGTACTATAAGCAAGAAGGTATGCTAGAAAAACTTTTAGTGCTAGACAGATTAGATAAGAATTTACATATGAAGATAGAGGCTTAGCAGATCTTTCCTCAGAATAAATAAGATAGTCAATTAGAGTCAATCTACAATGTATCAACAATCGAACACAATAGAAGACAAAAGCAAGGTAAAAAGCTAACTAGATTTAAAGTCATCTGAAGGTAGACTAGTTATGAAACTTTAAACTATTAAAAATGATGCAAGCAAATGATATTTTCATTTCAAAAGAACAATTATATTATGAAATTAAATTTAAGTTAATTCATTAAAAGCTATCAAGTAATTCTAAATGGCCTTAGTAGTCTCATTCTTTCATGAAGGTTATACTGTCTTTTATTTTTTGGCTTATTTAAACTGATGTTTAAGGTTTGATCCTCACATGAGAAGTTTCATTTTTCTTAGGCTTAGGATTTTTCTTAATCTATTCAAAGTCTTCATCTATTTTACTCTCCTCTTCAATGTTGTATCTCTAAGGTTAAAGTTGCCCTTCAACTACTTCATTAAAAAAGTTTTTCCATTTTTGCAGTTCATCAAGGCTATTCAATCGACTCAAGAAATGCACATCATCCTTTGCTAGTTCACTCTCTTTGATACAATCAATAATGTGATTAATATCAAATGCTACCACAATTGAACTATTCACATCTAACTTTATCTTTTACTCTTTGATAACCCTGAGTAATCTCTATAATAATAATAAAAATATTTAGTAATTACTCTGAGACAAAAAGAAAACACAAGCATTATCAATTCTTATTGATAGTATTTTAGTTTATCCTGGAAAATGTCGTAATCATTATCATGCAATGTCCTCCAATTTTTGAACTCTCCTCCTATATCTATGGCATATTTACTCAATACAAATTTTTCATCATCGAATGATGCAAGGGGTTTATAAGATTATTTGACAAACTACTTTTGAATTAGTTTGTCCATGGATTTTATATATTATTTCTTAAGATACTTGGTAGCTTTAGATCTAAATCTTCTCAATTCAATCTCAAATCTCTTGATAAATATGTTACTATGACTATCAAAGAACAAAACTTAATCTAATAACACCGAGATTTCACAGTATAAAGCTTATATTAGTTGCATTTTTTTGTCTTCTGAATCAATTTTTAATAACTTAGAGTAGTGTTTGTGAATCAATTGAAGAGCTAACTGTAAACTGATTAAAACCTAAATTTCACTAAGTTGCTTTACTTTACCAAAATCGGTTACAATCCGACTTTCATCAAAAGCAGCTTAAACTCTGAGATTGTTTATCATATCATTCAGGTATTTGAAGCTAAAGTCTCTCTCCTGCTTAAATTAGCCTCTAATCTAATCTCTCTCAATGAATTGATGAGTCATGATAACTTGTTGTTCAATTTAGCCAATAAGTGAAAATGATCTCAAAAATGAAAGGTTGTTATTCTATTCTTCTCTTTCCTTGATGCTGCGGACATTCTTCAAATAATCTAACCGAGTCTGATTTTCATAAAACCAGGCAACGATTCCTCTTATCATACCGTATATTAATTGAGTTGATATTCCTTTACTAGGCTCTAACAGAGGGCAAAAGAAGGATATGCCCTGCAGTTAGCCATTACTTAGACAAGCAAAGGACATATCACTCTTGAGAATTTCATTAAATTGTTTTACAAAGGCATTTATATTCCGCTTATATAGAAACGAGGTGCTGATTTTTCTCTGTTTTTGGAGGTTAAGAAGTATTCCTTAGAATATTAGTTGCATTATATTGTTTCTTAGTTTGTGATTGAAGTACTGGTAGAACCTGATGTATTAAAAAATGCGGTTAAGTTCAAAATTTGAGATCGAAAATACTATTGAAAGTTCAAGCTTTTGAAGGAAAATTTGGAACGCTTCTTTGAAAAATTTAGACTTTTAAACGAATTCTTCTAACTGCTTATCTGATCTTATGTCAAGGAAAAACTACGTCTACATTTCTAATTGATCAAGAGAAATCTGATAGTATCCTTCATTCTGTATAGATTTAAGTTGCTTATAAATTTTTGCAAACAGTTTAAGTTTCTCAAAAGCTTTCAACTATGACTAGACTTCTAATTTTTGCCTTTAAAGACTATTATAAGAATCTATTTCCATTGATTTTTAAAAATGCTTATGTAATTTAATTAATTAAGAATTTTATATAATTTTCTAATAATTTCTCTATAATTGCTTCAATGTAGAGCTTTCGGGGTTTTGGGGTTTTGGGGTTTTGGGG